ATTTCTTTGGCGAGTAGAAACCGCCAGATTCCAAGGAAGGGCCGGCGTCGTTGGAATATGGCGATTCATTCGCGGGATTTTGGCGAAAAAACGCCGAAATCGCCAATTTTCTACGAATACGGCTTTGGGGAAGGAGCCCAAAAAGCAAAACAAAAAATGAAGGTGTTCATAATGGTTTAGGGTTCCTTTTTCTTGACGGGGGTTTAAATAGGGATCTACAGGGTGCTACATGCGGCTTGATAAGGGTTCTACAAGTGTATCAGGAGGCTTTGTGGAATCCTATAAACGTTTCGGACGGCTGCAGAAGCGGCGCTCAAGCACTCATGTTCTGGATCCATGCTTTATGGCCTTTAGCCTGCCCACCCTAAACCCCAAACCAAAACCATAAACCCTGAACCCCAGAGCCCAAAACCCAAAGCGCGAAAGCTCCAAAACCCCAAACCTCCAAAGCCACCCCAAAACCCTAAAGGCAAAAACCGTAATTCCCGCAACTGCCCTCAGCAACTACTCTAAAGCCCCTCAATACCCTAAACCGCTATGCTACCTAAAAACTGTCTAAAACCCTCCAGTAGAACCCATATGCAAACCATCAAAGAGCTTCTGGCGGAATGGTGAAAGGAATCCCATTGAAGCCTTGTAGATCCCTTAGAGAACCCCCCCCTTAAAGGAACCCCTCAAATGAATTCGTACAACCCTTGAAGAAACCCTCAAAGGAGCCCGAAAAGGAAACCCACTGGTTGCTCTTCTCTGCTGCATAGGCACTGGCCCCAAGCCCGAAAGAAGCGATTCCTGCGGCTCTTAAAGGAGGCATTCATCTAAAGGATTCCTTTAAGGGCTCCCTTAAGGGATCTACCAGTCCTCTAAGGGATCTATAAAAGCTCTTAAAGACAAGATAGGGGGGCCTGTAGGAATAGGGGTTTGTTGCTCTGTCGAGTTTAGTGGTGTTAGGGCTTTCGGGGATTTTAGGGCTTTAGGTTAGTTTCGTTTACAGGCCCGGAAGGGTTTAGGGTTTAGGGTTTTACTGGAATTTAGGGTTTCGCAGCTTCGAAGGCTTTCGGGATAGGTGGGGGGTCGAACGTGGTAGCACAAAGTCTCTGTGGCAGAAGCAGCTCAAAAACAGTGCGAGAAAGCACGTGGCATGTTTTGTTTCTGTTTTCGAAGCCCGCGGTATTGCTTTTGGTATGTCGGTCTGAGCCTGTCAGACAGACTCTCAGACTCTGTCTGTATGCTGTGTGCAAAGGCCGGGATCCTGACCTTCACGGGGAGATCCTCGACGCGCTGAAAACACCAACAAAACTCCCCTACCGACATGCGCTGTTTTCAAGTTGAAAGATCGGGGTGCGACTTCCGGGCTCCACAATCTTGTGGGGGAACTGCATGTCTCGGGTTCTGTGAGCACTGGCTGTCCGATGCAAAAAGCGCCAGTTTTTCAGGAGCCCCTATGCGAATCGACAGCCCTCACCCAAGCCCTACAGAAACTAAGCTTGAAAATCCGAAGCTTGTCGAACCCCTCAGCCCAGAACCCCAAACCCAAACGTGCCGCGGCCACCCCGGCGCCCCGGCGCTTCGCAGCTCCGAGCAGAGGCGCAGCTGGCGCGAGGCGCTGGCGCTCAAGGCCTCGGCTGGACTTCCCCAATGCAATGCTGCCAGTAAAATAACCGTACAGTAGTAGTGATGGTCGTCGTCGACGTCGTCATAGCAATATTGATTGTATGTCATCGTGGTCGTGGTCGTGGATGTGTGGACAAGGTCGCGGTCGTGGTCGGTGTCGTGGACGCGGGCGCGGTCGTTGTGGTCTCGGACTTGGTCGCCGTAGCGGTCGTGGTGATGCAATATGAGAGTGTACCGATGCCCGCAACAATATGCAGCAAGAACAATCTGATACAGCCAGCACGGCGAAGCATGCATGTGCATTGTGAACATGATAGTAACGGCAATGATGGTGTCTGTGGTGATGATGATGATGATGATGATGATGATGAGATGACAAAGATGATGATGACGACGATGATGATGATGATGGTGACGACGATGATGATGGTGATGATGATGAAGAAGAAGAAGATGATGATTATGATGATGATGATGATGATGACGATGATGATGATGATGATGATGATGATGATAAGGAGGAGGAGAACGGTGAGGGCGACGATGACGATGATGATGACGATGAGGACGATGACGACGACGATGGCGATGATGATGATGATGATGATGATGGTGATGGTGATGGTGATGTTGGTGATGTTGGTGATGATGTTGATGATGATGATGATGATGGTGATGATGATGATGATGACGATGATGATGATGACCATGGTGATGATGAAGATGATGATGACGATGATGATGATTATTATGATGATGATGATGATGATGATGACGATCATGATGATGATCATGATGATCATGATGCTTATGCTGATGGTGATGGTGATGATGATGATAAGGAAGAGGAGGAGGAGGAAGCGGAGGAGGAGGAGGAGGAGGAGGACGGGGAGCGGGAGGGGGAGGGCACAATACTGAGGATGAGACTATGGCGACCGTCATAACAATGAAGATGAGGATGATGAGGAGGAGCAGGAGGACAAGGAGGGGACGGGCACGTCGAGGACTACCTAGCGTAATTTGCAGCACCACTTCTTTCCAATCGTCTCAGTCCCATTTACTGAGCGTAACCCTACACCGGGCAGGGCGCTGAGCAAGCCCGAGCAGGAACCGATCCGACCTGCTGCACTCTGGAAGGCCTTGCACGACAGCTGGTGCTGAAATTCGTACTCGCTGCAATGAGCCATTGGACAACAGGATCCCATCCGAAGGGAAGGACGAACACAATCAATGTTGGTTGGATTGTTGAACCTCCACATGTGCTGGAGGATCGGTGGCAGTCATGATGCATGTGCCAATGCAATGAAGATGCCCGCTCAAGACTCAGTGCTTCCTGTCGCAGGGATCCTCGTGCCAGTAAGTTACAAGTTCGCTCGTCAATCTGTCAGGCTGACCTCGAAATTCTGACAAGGAATGAACCACAAAGTCCAACGCCTTCGGCCCGTTGCCTGGAAATTCAAGCCTCAAGCGCAGAGGCCTTCTGCTAGAACGTTGCAGAAAGAAAATCGCTAACGTTCGAAGGCCACCTCCCATACCAGGAGCAGAAGCAGAATGAAACGGCTCAGTGCGAAGATCATGTCGGACCCGCCAGGCCTCGGACGGTGCAACAGCACGGGCGTCTGACTGCGACGCCGATGCTGCTGTTGCTACACGACCACCACCAGAACCAACAACTTCGCCACCACTACCACAACCGCGACCAAACACCACCACCAGCACCACCACGACTACCACGACGATGATGACGACCATGACGAGAAGGTGGTTGCTGTTCTTGCAGCTGTTAGATCGACCTTCTTGCTATGACTTTTCAGGGCAGGCACTGATTTTGCTGAAGAGCATTGAAGAAAAGCTCGCAGTGACAACATGCACCTGCTTTTCAAAGAGCCAACCAAAACTAGCACGAAACCAAAATCTTCAACGAATCTTGGCAAGGACTTTTCCGGGGCCTCTTCCGCACAAGTTCTACTCGCAATGCAAGTCAGTTGCTGGGCGGCTGCGGCCTGCATGGGGCGTTTAAGGCGTAAGGCGTTTAAAGATTCGTGTTTGGGGACTAGGGCCTAGGGTTTAGGGTCGGGATTTTAGGGGTTACGCTTTAGGGTTTAGCGTCTGGGGTTCACGGAACTGGAGGCTTGCCACTGTCAGAGCTACGTGTATGGCACTTCGTGTAGCTCGCGTCTCCAGCACGCGGCTTCTGAGTTCCGACGACGAGACTAAGTAGGCCCTTGAAGCTGGTCCATTTCCAACAAAACAAATAGGGTTTTGGGTTTAGGGTTTAGGGGTTAGGGCTCAGGGGTTTAGGGGTTTAGGGTTTAGGGGTCCCTGAAGCACAACAGAACTCAAGCTCGGGCTGTGGATCCCCAGAAGGCTGAGACGGGGAGCAATGCTGGCGCCCGCCAGGCAGGAAGTGGCGAGGCGAAGGTGCGCACGCGCCGCCAGGTAGCCCTCCCTGTCAATGAGCACGACGCGATCCTGGTCAGCATCCAAAGCAAAAAGGAGCCTAAAACCTCTTCCCGGAGCCAAAAACCCTAAACCCTAAGCCTCGATAGGCCCTAAACCCCCACAACCCAACCACAAGGAGCCCTCCGCGTCCCCGAACTTCGAGAGCCTTACAGGCGGCCCCTTGCCTCGTGCACGGCGCGCGCGGCGCTTCGGGCGGAGAGCTGCGAGTTGCTCTCCCTCTCCTCAGGATAAGGCTAAACCCTAAACCCTAAACCCCAAACCTTAAACCTTAAACCCTAAACCCTAGAAAAATACAGATGTCTTGAAAAGGGTTCTGATTCCTACAAAATGAGTTTAGGGAAAGGCCGCTCCCTCAGCTCTTCGCATGTTCACTCGCGTCAGCGCGATCGCTGCCGGTGCTGTGGATCTCACAGCTTCTGCTTTGAGACACGTTTTTCGAAAGACCCCCAAGCCAAATGCCATCTGCCCGCTCTTCCAAAGTCCTTGGCCACAAGCCGAAGAAATCCTTCACAACCACGCGCACAAGCACCCTCATTCTGTCCTTCTGCTTCTCCTGCGGTGCACGGCTTCGGCCGACCGCTTTGGGTTCGACCGCATTCGTCTCCTGCTGCCCATAATGGACTACTTAGGGCTTGACAGAGGGTCCTATGAGGGCCTTGGGTTAAAGAGACGTAGGACACAAGAAACTGGAGGACTTGCTTGGATCTGCAGCCCAAAGTCACCGAACCAACGATGCAAAGGGACCAAAAGTTCCTCCAGTTTAAACAAATCTCCAGCACAAAATTCTGCAAGGCAGAACCATCCTAAGACTCCAATGAGGTCGAGTGAACAGAACTATGCCCAGGACCTTTTCTCATGCGGGTCCAAGTGCCTCAGGCCGTCTAGACTCTAGACATCACCAGAGTCGACGGTCCGATCTTGACTCGCCCTTATTATCACATTTTTGTTCCTTATGGGGGGGGGGGTCGCTTAGGTTTCCTTTCAAGGGTTCCTTTAAGGGTTCCTCTTAGGGTTCCGCTTCAGGGTTCCTCTCACCTCTCAATATGATATTCTGTACTCTGTTTATGTTGCATGAAACTATATTATTTATACCATAGTATACTATATCATATCATACTCGGTATATGAATATAAACACATACAAATCAGATTATAGATGATACTATATACTAGAACATCTTCATATGGCGGCTTCCGAAAAATAGGGGACCCTAATATAGTACCCTAAGTAGTAGTAGGATCCTTAATTATGAGGGCCCCAAAATAAGGTACCCCTTGTTTTGGGAAACTCC